CAACACAACACAACACAACACAACACAACACAACACATCACAACACAACACAACACAACACAACACAGCACAGCACAGCACAACACAACACAACACAACACAACACAACACAACACAACACAACACAACACAACACAACACAGCACAACACAGCACAGCACAACACAACACAACACAACACAACACAACACAACACAACACAACACAACACAACACAGCACAGCACAGCACAACACAACACAACACAACACAACACAACACAACACAACACAACACAACACAACACAACACAACACACACACACACACACGTGCAGGGATCTCAAGACTGAGGGCCGCAGGCCGCACTTTTCGTTGTGCTTCAGGACTTCGCCCACGGAGCGCGGCAGCGCATCGGCGCGGTGGCGGCCTTGCCCGGGCCTCGGAAGCAGATCGTCGTGGGAAGTGCCTCGGGCCCTTGGAATGGGGTCAGGCCCAAGATGGAGGGGTCATGACCCCATTTTTCAAGGGCCCTGGAGACTCCAGGTGCCCTCCCAGCAACATGGATGAGGTTCGGGTCCTGGTTTGGACCATTTTCGTTTTAAAGGGACCCCCAAACGTCAGGTTCCAGGTTAATTGGTGGGAGGGCACCGCGGCCAATTTTTCAAACCATATGGAACTGACCGATTTTCCAACCCGATCCTGAAAATGGGCAAGAACCGTTTCATTTGGATCCGAAAGGACCCTTTCCGGGCCGGCTCTGTCTTACCCGGTCAAAGGCTTTACGCACAGAAGGCACATCTTTGTGGAGGGTGCTGTTGCCAAACGAAAGGGAACCCAGCCAATTTGGAGACAAGCCCAAATGGTCCAGCAACGGAGTCGCAGTTTCGTTCGAGTCGATCTGAAGCCTGTGGGAGAAAGAGTGAAGGAAGGGCTCCCCAAAAAGGGCCTTGCTCTGCCCCAAGGGTTGGAGCGGTGTGGCCGTGTTGGTCCTGTGTTGTTTTTCTCCCCCTTTTTTTCTCCTTTTTTTGTGGTCGTTTTTTCTTTTTCTTCTTCTGCGCGCTTTGGGCGGGAGGGACGGAACGCCTTTGCCGGAAGGCCGACTTTGGCCTCTCTAAAGTGAGCCCGAGCCAGCGAGCCATCGATCGGTTCGTTTGGATCGCTTCGAAAGTTTCACTCGGCGGCAACACGCCGCGAAGGTGGGGGAAAAAGACGAGGAAGCCGTACGCCCGCGTACTTGAACAGGGCTCCTTAAAAGATCTCCATTTTGCAACCAGTTGAAACATGTGGCTTTTTCCGCCAAAATAAAGGGAAACCACCATTTACAAGGCAATGTTCAGGTGTATAATGTAAGAATCCCTGTTGAAGCGATCAATATGGAAGCTTTCAGGGCTCGGTCTTGCATGATGCCGGATGTTTGCAGGATTTGGCACTTCTCCTGATTGGTATATTTAATATGCGTGTCTATGTTGAGGGAACTTCCCACAGATTGGGACTTTCCTCTTGGTTTCCCTTAGACGCCAAAAAGTGCTCGGGAAAACGAAGTCCCAACCACGCGGGACGTGGCGAGACTAGTTTTTGACCCAACTTTTCTCAACTTTTCGCGGTCAAACAGCTGGTTCTCAGCGTGCGCCCCGAAGTTTTGTTAGACGCACAGAGGGAAAGACACACGCAGATACAAATGCGAGGCCCCACACCTTTTGGCATTGCTCACGCTTTGACTGGTTCACCAGGCAGAGGGCCTAGTCATTTCAAGTCACAGAGATGCCGAGAGGTGTGACGGTCCATCTTTGATTGAGACCCAGACACTGTGGTCCGCCTATCGTTTCAAAAGGGCTACCCGCAGAAAACTAACCGTATGTGAGGATCTCCCCATTTTTTCCCGAACAGGCTCAAACTAGCAAGTCTGCCTCGGGTATCCATTTGAAAAACTTAGGTTATGAGAGTTTGGGTCTTCGTTTTTTTACAGAACCGGAGACGTCTTTGGGCCCGGGGGCACAGGCAGAGTTCAGCTGGCGCTGTGTTTCGGGTCTGGTCGCCTGCTTGAGGGGCATTTGGCTGTGGCTCAGAATGAAACAGGAGGGGCAAACCGCAGGTTTTGGTCCATGTTTCCACTTACCAGGGTTGATTTTGGTACCGGTTTTGTGAGCCACAGCCATTTCACAAACTGAAGAATTGGAACTTGTCCGATGCTGTTTTGTTTTTTTGCTGAGTTCTGGGATATTCGGGCCTTTACCCAACTGATTGGACCACCTTGGGAATCTCATTATATACTCAAGTTCCCCTATGTTCATCCAACGGGTTCAGGCCCCTTCGCAAAATGAGTCATCAGGAAGCAAGATGGTCACATGCCCGTTCACATGTTGGTTTCCATGCACAACCTGCGGGATCTCAGCTGGTTCTGACAAATTCTGCGTCCAGGGCCAAGCTTCTGGGGCTTTTGGGCTCAGCCACAAGCCTTTCGCCACCTCGCCGGCCATTCTTCTGTACATCCCACTGGTTGCGGGGGTTTGGGGATAGGCATCCAATTGAAGTGTAAAGCCAAGAGAGCTGCCACCAGACCACAGACGCGGGCTTCAAAGACGCGGCCGGCGCGGATCCTTTTTTCTCTTTCGGTCCGATGGCGCCCTGATGGCTGCCTCAGGCTGGGGCTACAAAGTCTGCCCGCCATGGCAAGCTTTTTGGAGCTACCGCTTGTTCAACAGAAGGGTCTTCTCACTCCAAAATCCTGGTTTCCCCTAGTCCCTAGCACTGCTTTAGTCAGACAACACAGTAACATACAGTGTTTTTTACACCTTTCCAATCACACATCACATCCCCACCAGCGGCCGCTCTCTTGTTCAAAAAGGAACTTGCGGGCTCGCATGCAGAGACGAGCCTAATCTCATTGCCTGCCCCTTCCCCCCCGCCCTTCCCTCCGTTTTTAAGACACTCGTCCGTGCCTCACTGCTTCAAGTCACGCCTTCTGGGAGAATGAGAGCCTTGCATGCTGTGTGAAGAGTGTGCTGTGGGGCAGGTGCATGGTTTTGAGTAAACCGGCTGAAAAAATGACCTCTGCTCGGTGGCCCGTCGGCCCGGCGGCCCGGCGGAATGGCCACTCGTACCCAGGAGTGATGGGTGAGGTGGAGGAGCTCAAGAAGAACGAATGGATCTACTCGCACGTCTACAAGGACTCGCGCCGCCCAGGACGGGGCAATTTTTCCGTTTTGATGGGAAAAGCCAAGTTGAACCTGTTGAGTTGAGCCCAACTTCACTTGTTGGCTCTATGATTTTGGAAATCGGTCTTGATTTGCAGATTCCCTCTCTTCATCTTCAGAGAAAACAAGTTGGCGCTTCTCCGACCCCGGCACGCCCTCACGTCCAGAAAGGGGATCACTCGGGGTTTTTGTTCCCTACTTCTGTGAGGGAATCTCACCCTTATAGGGGGGTTAGTCTTTGGGAAGCCCTCTCTGTTGTATCACATAAGTGGTCATTTCCCACAGCCCTGTAGAAAACTGTAATGTAATGTTGGATCCAAGTTTTCGTTGCTCTTAAAAGACGACAGCTCAAAGGGTGCCGATGCGGTTTACACACTCCTGCCCGACATAGGCCCGATGCAAGATGGCAACCGTTTGTGAATGAAATCTTTGGTGCACACAGAAAGTCTTAGTTGCGACATTGATATCGGGAAAGGGGCAATAGCCGGAGATTCTTTTGGGGTGAGGGGGGACCCTGAAAGCGCACAGGAAGCAGATGGCATCTGCTTCCAAATTCGCCTCGAGCGTAGGCGTCATCGTGACGGAGCGCTTGGTGCTGCGGGAGAATGGCCTCTGCAGGCCAGGAACCGCTTGAAATGGTCGGCCCAAAGTTTTCCAATCCCAGATATAGGTTGGTTTGCCAACTCAGCAGGTCAAAACGCCCTAAAGACGGTTGGTTTCCTGTTTGTTTTTTCTTGAAACGCCACCCAAACGCTAGTTTGAGAAAGACCCAGATCTGGTGCTGGTCCTAGAGCATGACGACCCTCCAGAAGATGAAGACTCCCAGTCGTCCCAGGGAACTGCCAAGAGTCTGAATGGTCAGAGAGTCAGTCAAAGAACTGGCAATGGTCTGACAATAGTTCACAGAAGTGGTAAGACATTCAGGGGGAAGATTCCCGATGTAAGACCAGCGCTGGCTGTCGCTTGCGTGGAAATTCACAACAAAGTGACGCGTGACGATTCTTGGTTTGTGGGTCAGGGCAGCAATCCAGAGATTATAGAAAGTTGCCACGCTAAGGATGCACAGACATCACTTCAGATCACCACAAATTCCTTCACCCCCCCCCCCCCCGCAGATCGCAAGACAGTACTCTAAAGCAGCCAAAAAATCAGCGTAATCACCATGGACGCAGCATTTGCATACCACCCAAAATCACCACTGGACTTCTCAAAGTAGCATGAACCGTCAGCAAGCGTACTCACAAACACATATCACCAGACGCAACCTTTCAAGCACTTTTTTAAACCAGTTAGCTTCTATCCATTTGCGGATGTACTGAGCTCAGACGGAACTTTGCCCACTCCAACCCGAATGGTCACAGCTGTCGGCTTCCGAAAATTGCGTTGGCCGCTTCCGGGCCCGTTGGTAAATGGCTGGTTAACACCAATGGGATCCCATTCTGGGGTTTTCGGTGACTTCACCGCCCATTTTAGGGACCTATTTTGGTGGTTGGATTGAATCGGACGTTCACTGGGGCTAACCGATTTGGGTCTAAAACCCATGGCATGGCGCAGGTGGAGCCGGTTTCTGGACACCAACGACCAGAAGGGCGTCAAGGCGCAGGGGGAGTTCTGGCGCCGTGAGGCCGTGAAGACCGTGCGCGGGGGCCCCAGAAAAAAGAAAAAAGGCGCCTGTGTCGGCGCTTTCTCACGTTGGATCCAGGGATTTTACCTGGTGGTTCAATCAATTACCAGGGCCACCTACTTTTCAGAAAGGACACCTACTGAAACCCTGCCCATTCTGAGTGAGATCGAGCCACGGCAGCCCCAGCCAGGTGCGGATCTCCGCCTTAATTCTTGAAGCATGGTTCTGGGATTACGACCATCTTAATAGCGGGGTTTTGATTGTGACTCACGTCGGATTCATGAATTTTCCCAGGGAACCGCCTCAAAAGTGACTAGAAGTTGCCTTGACTCCCATTTGGCTCCGCGAAGTTCATGAAATCCCGGCTTTTCCCAGTCCCTTCCTTCAAAGCGCAAAGGCAGACCAGACCAGACCATACCAAACCAGACCAGACCAGGCCAGACCAGACCAAACCAGACAGGACCAGACCAGACCAGACCAGACCAGACCACACAACCACACTTTGGAATGTAGGAAAGTCGCAAAGGTGGCGTCACTTGCAATTTGGCAATCAACAGACACGAACACATCACGGAACTCTGGAGAGCCAATGGATCTTAATATTAAGAAGCAACAGCAACACATCACACAAAGGCTCACAGCCAACCGATATCCTCACCGCACATTGCCAGCTTCATTGATGGAGAAGCAATGCGGGTGTCTCCATCCCCTGCGATCGAGATTCATGATTGAGCTTCGTGATCTTGGCGGTGAAGCCTTCCAACCGTGAACTAGGATGATCCACACACACACACAGGCGCCGCTTTTTGCGGCGAGCTGGGAGTCAAAAGTTACCGGCTGAGATCTTTGATCTCAAACCATTTAGATTTCACGGTTTCGGCAGGTTTGTTCAAGATCCGACCAATCGCTTTGTAACTGGGCCGAGCACGTTCATTAGTCTTAAGTTCTCTCAGTCGATGAAGGCGATCAGGTGACCACTCATCAGTGGGTGTAGCCGATGACGACGAGCACGAAGTGTCTGGATTGTCCTCCTCAGACTGGTCGGAGGTTAATACTTCGTCTGGCGCTGTGTGATCTGGTCGTTGTTGTTCTGCAGGATGAAGGGGTCGAGTGTGCATAGGATAGGTTGTGTCGGATTGGTCGGTGTTAATGGGTGTGAAGATGTTGGGGATCGTCTCGTGCCTGGAGAAGTGAGGTGGCGTGGAAGTCGACTGGTCTGTGATCTGGGTGTCGGTGCTGGTGCCGTGGGAGGTTGAGCGGTGAAGGGGTTGTCGAGGAAGGAGTCGTCAAAACTGTCAGTGGCAGAAGTCTTGGTGCGCTTGGGTGGCGGAACGTGCGGTGGTTTCGTGCCGGTTGGTAGTGCAAGCTGGTCAAGAATGCGTTTGTTGTTCTGGATGATGGTGGTAACAGGCGCGGGAGGTGGTCCTGGGTTGGTAGTTGGTGCCAAGAGCTCAGGAGGAGTGACAATGCCGCCATGAATGGGATTGCCGGGCATCGTGTTGAGTTCTGTGGGTGGCATAATCAAGGAGTTCAGCAACTCGAGCGCTTGGATGTGACCTGGCGTTGGAGGTGCGTGCCGGATAGACGTGTGAAGAGGTAAAGGCGGTTGTTGTGGTTGAGCGCGGGAACAGTAGGAAGTGGAGTTGTAGCCGGTGGACTGGCAAGTACGTGGGGTGGTGTTGGTGGTGATGTGAAAGAAGAAGGGGGTGGTGTGTGTGAGGTTGGCTGTCGCGGGATGGATGGCGAAGCTCTGGTTGCCGAAAGTCCGGGTCGCTGGGTGGTGGGTGCCAAAATTCGTGGCTGATGCAGTCCAGGGATTTCGGTACGGAGGTGCAGATCTTGCGCTTGCCGGCGTGTAGGGAGTCGGGGGTCCTGGACGCTGTTGCAACCCGAAGTCAGCTGACTTCGTGTTGGAGCGCTCCCGGGAAAGGTGACTTGTTTTGAGCCCGACTGGGGAGAAGGCAACACGGGAAACAGAAACACAACCAAACCTAAAGACCTCATGCAGCAGCCTGACGCCACAGGGGCACGACACGGGTGTGAATGCTGAATCTGAATCTGAATGAACAGTAAGCGCTGAACGGTGTTTCAGGTGAGACGTAGGGCCGTTAAGGTGTCACTTGCAATTCGGCAATCAACAGACACGAACACATCACGGAACTCTGGAGAGCCAATGGGTCTTAAGAAGCAACAGCATCACATCACACAAAAGGCTCACAGGTACGTCAGTTGGCGTCCCAACCGATATCCTCACCGCACATTGCCAGCTTCGTTGACGGAGAAGCAATGCGGGTGTCTCATTGTTTGTGATTGAGATTCAAGATTGAGCTTTGCGAGCTTCCCCTGTGATCGAGATTCATGATTGAGCTTCGTGATCTTGGCGGTGAAGCCTTCCAACCGTGAACTAGGATGATCCACACACACCCACCCACTCACCCACCCACCCACCCACCCACCCACCCACCCACCCACCCACCCACCCACCCACCCACGCACGCACGCACGCACGCACGCACGCACGCACGAACGCACGCACGCGCGCGCGCGCGGCGCGCGCCCGCCCACGCACGCACGCACGCACGCACGCACGCACGGACGCACGCGCGGTCTGTGTTTGTGTGTGTGTCTGTGTGTGTGTGTCTGTGTCTGTGTCTGTGTCTGTGTCTGTGTCTGTCTGTGTGTGTGTGTCTGTGTGTGTGTG